TACCGGGCCCTCGCGCCACGCGCGTCGGTGTCCGCACGCCGCGCACTGGGGGCCGCCACTGCCCGCCGCGCCCCACCGGAGACACCGGGGCGGGGAGCTCGGCACGCGCAGGGGCTCTGCGCACTTCTCCAGCCTCGAGTCGGAGGTATGACGCGGCCCGGGGGGTCCGCCGCCCCCTCGGTCAGCGCAGGCCACGGCCCGAGGAGGTGCACGCAGTGGACAGGACCCGCGTGGGCTGGGGAGGAACCACGTGCAACTGGTCGGACCCCGCCTGGAGCAGCGTCCTGCGCCCCCTCGCGTTGGGGGGATCACGAGCCAGAGGGGATCTAGTCGCCCAGATCTCACCCAGCCACAGAGCGAGAGGGCGGGTGGGGGTCTTGGAGCCCACCCGACTTTTTTTAAAACCCGACAAGGGCTTTTTAACGTCACCAGAGGGGGCGGCAGGTGGAGGGTCGCGCCCCGCCCCGCCCCCACGCTCGGGGCCGTGGCCCCCACATCACTGTGCAGCTCCCCGGCCCTAGCCACGCCTCCGGGGAAGCCCGTTTTTAACCTTCCATCCATCGGACTCAAAACTGTGAGACACGTTCGCCAAACTGTGACCCCAGACCTCTGCCCCGCCACACAGAAACCCCTGACCCCAGACTGTGACTTCCAACACCTGAAATGAACATCCGACCCCTGACTGTGACCCGAATCCCAGACTGTGCCCGTCCAGACCGTTATCCTTGATATCAAACCGTGACAGCCCCCTCCTTTTCCACCCTCGTTGGCTTTTCCCTACTCTGACCTAGGACCTGTCCCCAACTGAAGCCCCACCTTCCCCTCTCCCAAGTTGATCCCAACCTCCTTCAACCTAAACTTCTCACCTTCCCTTACCAGCCCAGATGCTACCAGTCACATCCTCTCCCGATCCAGCCCTAATTTGTCACCCTTCACTGATGACCCAGCAGATCCCCCAAAGCTTCCTCTTCCCAGACCTCCAGCCGGGCCTGGGGTTGGGTTGCAGGGAGGAGGGTCTGGGAGCCCACACTTCACCACTGACCTTCCTCACCCCTCCTCTTCCCCTCCACATTGCAGTGTTTGGAATAAACCATGTTTTTATGCCTCCTCAGCCCTAGCCTGAGCTCTGTGTCTGTCTCTTGTCCCACTCACCTTCTCTAGAGGAAACAGAAACTGAGACAAGTACCACGGGGAAAAGAAGGTAGAACAGAGACTAAAAGGAGATGGGAGAAAGATCTGGGAAGAAGGGGTCTAGAGACCAGGGTAAAGAGACCTCAAAAAATGGGGGAAAGATCCCTAGATCTTTACAAAAGGTTTCAGGATCAAATCTCGGGACCCATTTCCTGTGGCTACAGCCCATAAGGCTTGATTTATATAATCTGTTCATGCAAGTGAGGACAATGTCTAACACATCCAGCCAACTCTCAGATTTGAATGTCATTAATCTTATCAATGAGAATCTATTTCCAACATTTCATTACTCCAATTAGCCAACCCGGTGGTGCCAACCGGCAATAAAGAGAGCTGCCCTGCTTATAAGCGCTGCCTCCAGAGGGTGGACTTTCTGATTAAGTGCTCGCTGACCAGAGCTGCAGTGTGAACGCCTGGTTAGGCACTTGACTGCCCCTAGAGGATAAATTCAACGACTAACACATAATACGCACGCTGTCTACACGAAAGCATTTTGAAACGAATTATAGCCATCATACAGGAAGAGAAAAGATACCGTCTTTATTGGTCCTAAGGGAGCAGAAACCCGGTCACCCTGCCAGTAAGTGCTCAAGTTTGCATACATGAATAATTAATTAAGTGGAAAGATAGCCCTGGGAATCAAGAAGATGGAGTCGGGTTCCAAACGCTAATGGGGGGGAACAGGCTGTCTTGTAAAACTACAACTCCCAGGAGCCCTTGCCTCTGCCACGCGGAAGGTCGCCCCAAGGTCATGCGGCTATCTCCATAGCCGTAGGCTTCTCTCCAGGGCCAGGACGCAGTTCTTCTCCCGCATCGCCCTCTCTAACTGATGGACTGAAGGTTTCCAAGGTAACCGCGCAGTAAGGCGGGTCTTAGGAGATGGGAAATGGATCCCGGAAGTGACGCTCTTACCCTGCGCCGGCGGGAAGAGGGTTTGAAGATGGCGGCCCGCAGGGGACAGCGACGCACATGTATTACTGAAGAGTCTATGGAGACCGAATCTCGCGACCCAGATTCCAAGGGCCCGGCCCAGGTCTATCTTCCCGGCCGGGGTCCTCCGCTGCGCGAAGGGGAGGAGCTGGTCATGGATGAGGAGGCTTATGTGCTGTACCACCGTGCGCAGACTGGTAGGCTTAAAAGCCCGGACTCCTAGATGCTAAGGGAGGAGACTGGTCCCGAGATTTTAACTTGAAAAGGTGCCCAGGAAGAGAAGGCTGGGGTCTAAGAGAGGTGATGTTACACTGCGGACAACTGGTTTCTGAGGAATGTGGAGACAGAGATGGCTCCATCGCATCCTCACTCGCCAGCCCCTTCCATCCCCAGGCGCCCCCTGTCTTAGCTTCGATATAATCCGAGATCAACTGGGGGACAACAGGACAGAGCTTCCTCTTACACTATATCTGTGTGCGGGGACCCAAGCGGACAGCGCCCAGAGCAACAGGTGAGAGACCCAAGGCATTCCCAGATCCAGGGGTCCGAACCTCTTGTTTCCACCCCGTTCCTCAGGACCCAGGAATTAGGACTTCCACCTTCTGCCTCACCCCACCCAAGCATAGGTTTCCAGCCTACCTCCTCGGTAAGCGGCCTGGCCCCAACTGCCGAACTTAGTACCTAATACTTACCCCCAGACTGATGGTGCTTCGGATGCACAATTTACACGGCACCAAGTCCCCTCCCTCAGAGGGCAGCGAGGAAGAGGAAGAGGAAGATGAAGAGGATGAAGAAGAGCGGAAGCCACAGCTGGAGCTGGCCATGGTGCCCCACTACGGTGGCATCAACCGGGTGCGGGTAAGTTCTTTATAGTCCTAGCGGTGTGAGGGTAAAATAAGAGAATGTTTAGTGTCAGGAACAGCCCTTGGTTTTAATGTGAGCTGTGAGTTTTCTGCTAAATTGTCACTCAGGAACTATTGGGCCATACGAGCTTTGTTTTGGGTTTTTTGCTTTAGAGGCAAAGCATTTTCTGATTGGGTAGACAATCATATAAGATGGCAGGATGTACAAAGGCTACTTAGAACAAGGTTTGGTACACAGCTGGTCCTGTGTTTGCATTAGATTGTTATTATCACATCCTGGTACTAAATCCTTGAGGATTTAGGCTAAGTGAATTAAATGATGCAGTTCCGGCTCCATGGAGCGAACATAAGCTAGTGGACAGGGAAGAAGAAGCAAAGCAAAGGGCCAGCCAGGTAGCTCAGCGGACTAAAGCGCCTGCTTAGTCGGAGCGCAGCGTGCCTGCCGGCTCCACCCCCAGGGCATGCTGACAGCCCATTGAGACTGGGCCTGGTGGCAGGCGCCTGTAATCCCAATGGTTGGGAAGCTGGAAACAGAATCATTACAAATCCAATCTACATAGTGAGCCCCTGTAGACCCTGTACTAAAAACATTAAAAAGAAAGAAAAAAAAATTCCTTTAACCTAGGAAAAGGAACTCCGTAAATGTAGTATGTCAGAAGGTATTAAGTGTTGTGGGAAAGACGAAAATGAGACAGAGTAAATTTTTTTTTTTTTTTATTTAGTATAGGGTGTACAAGATTTCACTACGGAGATCAGAATCGTAGGGAGTCTCCTGTTTTCGGCCTCCCAAGTGCTGGGATTACAGGCATGCACCACTATGCCCAGTCTCAATCACCATCTCAGCCGTCTCGGCGCCCCGCTGGCGGGGCTGGCATCACATGCACCCCGGCTACTGCACTCTGCCTAAGCTGGCGCTTTAATCTGCTAAGCTATGAGGCTGGCCCTACGTTTTTTTTTTTTGTTTTTTTGTTTTTTTTTTTCTGAGACAGAGTCTCATCATGTAGTTCAGGCTGGTCTTGAACTCTTGGTGATCCTCCTGCCTCAGCTTCCTGAGTGCTGGGATTGCCAGTGCCCTTTGAACAGAGACCCATGGGAATTGAAGGAGTGAGCCAAGAATTATCTGTGGGAAGAAATTTGGAAGCAGGGAAAATACAGGTGCAAAGGGCATGCGTGTTGGAGGAGTTTTAGAGGGAGGAAAACCAGTGTGCCTGGAGCAAAATGGGCAGGGAGAAAGTGACAGGGTAGCTGCGGAGGAGATGATGTCTAGGGCCACAAAGATACTTAAACTTCTCAGAGAGAAACTGAGAACCACTAGAAAGTTTAGGGCACAAGGGAGGTGGGATCTGGCCTTTGGTCTAAAGGGACTCCTCTTCCCAGGTTTGGTTGCACATACCCATAATCCCAGCATTCAGGAGGCTGAGGCAGGAGGATCATGAGTTTGAGGCCAGCAAATGACCCAGTTACCCTTCAGCAGTGGGTGGGAAGAGCAGGAGTCAGCACGCTCCAGGGAGGTCTCCACTGAGGAGGCACTGAACAGGGAGCCTGGCAGAGACTCCATGTGCAGCTCCTGCTGGGGGGCTGGGGGGCTTGCAGTCTTCGTGTACAGGGGTTTGGAAGCTTTGTCGTCCCACCGTTCTGCCTGCTTCATTCCAGTGTGGGGCATTGGCTTAACGTTACGTAAATATAAATTCACCTGATGGGAAAGATGGGGCATAACTTGGTATCAATGGGCCTGGTTGGTTGTGATTTTACCCCACAAAGGTTTCTGGGGGGTAGTAGTCCTAGGCAAAACTCCCTCTCCCTCTGTTTCACAAACCCCTCTCCTTCAGGTGTCCTGGCTGAGTGAGGAGGAGCCTGTCGTGGCCGTGTGGTCAGAGAAAGGCCAGGTGGAAGTGTTCGCGCTGCGGAGGCTCCTGCAGGTGGTGGACGACCCCCAGGCCCTGGCGGTCTTCCTCCGGGATGAGCAGACACGAGTAAAGCCTGTCTTCACTTTTGCTGGCCATATGGGGGAGGGCTTTGCCCTTGACTGGTCCCCCCGGGTGCCAGGTGAGTCCCTGGGGTGTGCCCTGAGTTCAGGGAGTGAAAAAAATGGGACAACAATGGTGAGCCTTGAGCTGTGGCCAAGTCGGGCAAGGTCATTTCACTCCCTTCCTAGGTCGCTTGCTGACAGGTGACTGTCAGAAGAACATCCATCTCTGGACACCTACAGATGGTGGCTCCTGGCATGTAGACCAGCGGCCATTCGTGGGCCACACGCGCTCCGTGGAGGACCTGCAGTGGTCCCCAACTGAGGACACGGTGAGGGAAGACAGGGGCCTGGAATCCTGGGTCTCCAGGGAGGAGGCACTGAACAGGGGGCCTGGCAGAGGCTTGGTGTGCAGTTCAGGTGTGAGTCTGGGGGACACTGCAGAGGGTGACTCCCTACCAGCTCTTGGTCCTCAGTGTATGGTGGGGACACCTGAGCACGCAGACCTGCTCTGCCTTGCCCAGGTATTCGCCTCCTGCTCAGCTGATGCCTCCATTCGCATATGGGACATCCGCGCAGCCCCCGGGAAGGCCTGCATGCTCACCACGGCTACCGCTCACCAGGGGGATGTCAACGTCATCAGCTGGAGCCGCCGAGAGCCCTTCCTGCTCAGTGGTGGGGATGATGGGGTCCTCAAGGTGTGGGACCTGCGACAGTTCAAGGTATTTTTGCAGCAGCCCCTGGATCTGCAAGCCACTTGCTTCTGTGCGCTTAGCCAGGACTGGGAAGGCCCCCGGGATTTGAAGCCAGCCACCCTCCTGAGGCGCAGCAAGAGAACGGTGTGAGAGCAGTGTGGGGTCTTTCTCTCCCCCGTGAGTGGTGGACAAGCAGTAGAGGCTCAGTAGCAGGGACTACAACTCCTGTTGCCTGTGACCGTACAGCCCATGGGCTCGGGCTTCACAGAGTTGTAGTGTGTGTGGTAGTGGATTGGGGAGCATCAGGTAAGAATTGGAGACTAGCTTACTCATTATAAGGGAAGAAACTGGGGCACAGAACAGGCGGGAGCAGCCAGGGACACATGCTTGTAACCCCAGCACTGGGAGGCTGGAAGGGGGAAGATGACAGGTTTCAACCCAGTCTGGGCAGCACAGTGACCTAGTGAGAGCCTGCCTCAAAAAGATTTTAAGCCGGGATATAGTTCAGCAGCGTAAGTGCCTACTTGGCAAGCATAAAATCTCGAATTCGATCCCTAGTACAGAAAAAAAAAAGGAAAGATTTTAAAAGGACTGGGAGATAGCTTAGTATGAGAGCTCAGTACTAGGAGCAGAAAAGAAAAAACGGCCAGGCAAGCATGGAAAGAACCCCCAACCTTTATTGAGGGTAACCCAGGCCACTGGCAGGCGTGGGCGCCTATACCTGAAGCCCAGCACCCAGCAGCTATCCTCTGGGCTTGAGGGTGTGGGGTTTTGAGGGGAAAGCCCTGGTTGAACCTGAGGCAAGTCCCCTTGTGGGTCTCTTGGAGCCCCTGACACCCACCCTCTCCCACAGTCCGGCTCCCCTGTGGCCACCTTCAAGCAGCACGTGGCCCCTGTGACCTCCGTTGAGTGGCATCCGCACGACAGTGGGGTCTTCGCAGCCTCCGGCGCAGATAACCAGATCACACAGTGGGACCTGGCTGTGGAGCGGGACCCCGAGGCGGGCGAGGTGGAGGCTGACCCGGGGCTGGCGGAGCTGCCGCAGCAGCTGCTGTTTGTGCACCAGGGCGAGACAGACCTGAAGGAGCTGCACTGGCACCCACAGTGCCCGGGCCTCCTGGTCAGCACCGCCCTGTCGGGCTTCACCGTCTTCCGTACCATCAGCGTCTGAAGAGGCCTTGCACCGTGAAAATGACATTGGAGCTGGTCCCCTGAGAGGGGTTCATTTGGGCCTGTTGACCAGACCCCCAGAAGAGGGGGCTCCCATGGATTCTGTGGGCTCTTGTTCTCCCAAAGGACTTGGTTTGACCCATGGCCTTGTGTAGCCATTCGCACCAAAGACCGCCTCACCTGGCAGAGGGCTCCGCTAGCCTCGTGTTGCCTGAGTGTTCGATTCTTGTCACTTTGCTTCCTGCTCTCTTCACCTCTGTCCTGGCTCCACGCTCGGCTGCTGCCTTCCCCGGGGACTGGGGCTTGCCCTGGCCGGAGCGTGCTTCTCAGGTGGGTTCCTCCTGCCACCTGAGCTGAGCCGAGATTTCCCAGTGCTTTCCTGGAGCAGAAGCCAGGGCTCCTGAATGGCAATAAAGGACCAGACCAAGGCCTGAGTGTGTACGGCTTTGCTCCCAGCCCAGCCCCATGTGGACGCTGAAGGGCAAGACCAGAGTTGGCGCCCCCAGGTCACTTGTGCGCCAAGCCGCGGCAGGCTGGCCCTCAGCCCATAGCGTGTCTCTTCTCTGCCTCACCTCATTTGTATTCTGGAGTGCACTCAGGTCAGTGAAAGGTGGCTCATCCTATGCCCCCCAACCTACTAAGGTAACCAGGGAGCCCCCACCTCTCCGTCCCATTCACCATCTCGCCACCTCTCTCCCCGGAAATGATGCTACTTTGTCCCCATCTCCCAGTGGCTCCCGGCTCCCTGCCCCCCACCTGGCTATGCCAGGCTCCTCCAGCCTCCTAGGCCTGGGCCCTGCGCCCTGCCTGGCTGGCCTCCCTGGCTCCCCCTCTGCGGAGGAGCTGCCCCGCCCCCACCCTCCGAGCACACAGCCTCTGATCTGCTGTGGTTCAGAGCTCTGCAGGCTCGAGGCCCCAGGGGCCAAGGACCAACTGCAGCACCCAGACGCCCCCCTACAGCCCAGAAGAGGAACCCCCAGCACAGGGCATGGGGGTGGGCCGCCCCCCAAGGTACGTGTCCCCCAAGAGGGCCAGCCAAAGAGCCAGCCAACCATCCTCCTGCCAGGCCATCCTCAATACCAGCTCCAGCTGGAGTCTGGTCTCCCAGACCTGGGGCTCCCCACTCAGACCCACCCTGGTTTCTACCCTTCCTCGTGGCTGTGGTCTGTCGGGTAGCCTCTCCCCATCTACCTCTCAATTCTGCTGTCTCTTAAGACCTGTGCTCACCGCTCTTTTCCTGACTGCACGTAGTCTGCCTGCCCGACTCTTCTGTCCCCCGCCCCCACCACGGACCCCTGTTCCCTTGCTGCACTCGGCCCTTTCCTGGCGTCCTTCTCCCTGCTCCTCATCCTGCCCAGGTCCAGGTACCCTTTGTCTGCAGCCCTCCCCACACACCTCTCCATCATACCCCAGCCTGCTGGCCCACCCCACCGGTTAGTGGCAGTGGGGGACACCCTTGGTGTTGCAGGAGAATGGAGTGTGCACTGAGCAGGGAGGGGGGCCTGAGGGCAGGGCTTCTTGGCCCCAGATTAGACGGTGACTTTGACACAAGTGGAAGCACCTTAAGCCTCACGGCACCTTTATATGGAAACGTTAAGCTGCTCTTGCAGGTCAGCTGGAGGGGGGACCTTGGCTCGGGATCCTTTCCTTCCCCTCCCGCTGTGGTGGGGGACAGGGTGGGAGTGTCAGGAGCTCCACCATGCCGGGCACAGACTGGGCCCCCTGGAGGTGAAGATTTCCCGAGGGTCGGGGGCAGTGGCATCCAGGATCGAGGTAACAGAGTCCTCGGTGGGGAAAGCTCCGGACCCCCACCAGCTTCCCGCCCCGCGCTGTGTGGGCCCAGCCATCCCTCTCCCTGCTGGACATGGGGTCATTGTGAGCACTCAGGTGAGCTGGGGGCCTAGTGGCCCAGGGGGCAGGGCTTGGCCTGGAATAGGTGTTGGGGTAGTGGCTGTGGGTACAGATCCTGGGGGCCTGAGGGCAGCAAAGGGTTTTCATGGAGAAGGTAAGAGATGGAGGGCAAGGGGATGGGGTGGGGTGGGAGTCAGTGCCAGCTCCTGCCCACCCCCAGCCTCTTGCTGGGGAAGGGCTGCAAGCATAGAGGTTGCTCCCTGGACTCTGACTGCACACCCACCCCTCTGGGACCTCCTGCTACCCTCGCCAGAGAGCAACCTCTAACTTCCAGGGGTATGAGGGAAAGTCCCAGAAATGGCCGGGGAGATGGCTCAGTGGAATAAGTGCTTCCCTGACAAGCACAAGGGCCTGAGTTCAATCCCCGGTTCCACCAAAATAAAATAAAGTCCCAGAAAGGGCTCTCCAGGGTGCTAGACAGCTGGGCTCCATCACTGCACCCCAAGCCTCTGCCCCGCATGTGACGGGCAGGCCTGGTGAATGTCCAGGCAGCGGTGCTCTGGGAGGTGCTGGTCCAGCAGGCACACGGTACAGCAGAAAAAAGCTTGGGAAACTGGGTAGAAGCGGTTGCAAATTAACCCTTGGCAACACTTAGCCCGGCCCAGTCCCGGAGGTGGCCCTGCAGGTGTTGGGTGACCTGGGGCTGGGGGCTGCTGATGACAAGCTCTGCAGAGCTCTGCCCAGCCTGTGGCCCCTGTCCCTCTGCCCTGTGGGGCTGCCAGGATTCCCCCCACTTCCCAGGACTCAAGAAGGACTGGCACCTGGCGTCCCACACAGCTTGGGTGTGGCCAAGCTGGCCTTGCACTTAGTGCCCCTGAAGCAAAGCGGACGCCTCCTTTTCAAGTGGGGATGGGGGTACCGCATTCCACAGATGGGCACACTGAGGTTCTAGGGCAGAGAGCCTGGGATCCCTGGGCACACCATCAGGCTTCGGCCCTGGGCTTTAGGATGCAGCACACCTCCTGATGGTAGCAGCCTCCCTATTTTACAGCTGGGGAACCTGAGGTTCAGAAAGAGGTGCCCAGGGGCTGGTGAGATGGCTCAGTGGTCTAAAGCACCTACTTAGAACAAGCTTAGCAAAGCCCAGGGACCGCGGTTCAATCCCCCAGCACCACATGCCAGCCAGCCCGCCCCCTGGTGGACTGAGCTGGCCACACACACACACACACACACACACACACACACACATAAGTAAATAAAATTAAAAAAAAGAAAAAGAAAGAAAGAAAGAAAGAAAGAAAGAAAGAAAGAAAGAAAGAAAGAAAGAGGTGCCCAGGTTAGGGTGAAGCTGAGCCCATTTATTTGGTGGCAGCTGAGTAGAATGGCGCTCGCCTACCATCCTGTCCGCCCATCCAAGTGCATAGCAGCCCTTATCGCATTTACAGTTGTGCAAACTTGTGCAGATGTCACCCTGATTAGCAGCTTTTCCTCACCCCCAAAAGAAACCCCACAGCCTTTGGCTATCATTCCACCTCCCCACTTCCCCAGGCTGAGGCTCCTGTAGGTCTGCGTTCATTTCCCTTCCAAGCCCTGGGGTCAAAGCAGAGCCGAATGCATGGGAGGCAAGTGCTGGGCACTCCGGCCTGCCTGCTTTCTGAGTTCAGGGATTTATTTGTTCTATGTACTTATTTTTATTTACTTATTTATTTGGCAGAACCAGGGATTGAACTTAGGCCTTTGTGCTTGCCAGACAAGGGCTTATTCTACTGAGCCATCTTCCCGGCCCCTGTTCTACGTATTTCAGATTCGGGGTCCAAGGGCATGGGCTCCTGGCCCCTCAGATCCTGACTTCTTGCATGGGTGCTCATGGCCCTCATGAAATGGCATCAAGTCTACCAATAACCTATGGTTAGCCTCTCCTATACTTAGAAAATCCCCAAGACTGTCAGCTGTGGTGCTGCATGACTGTAATTCCAGCACTCTGGGAAGCAGAGGCAGAAGGATTAGAAATTCAAGCCCAGTCCGGGCAATGTAGCAAGATTCTGTCTCAAAATTTAAAAAGGGCTGGGGCTGGTGAGATGGCTCAGTGGTCTAAAGCACCTACTTAGAACAAGCTTGAGCAAAGCAAAGCACAGGGACCGCGGTTCAATCCCCAGCACCACATGCCAGCCAGCCCCGCCCCCTGGTGGGCTGAGCTGGCCACGCACGCGCACACACACACACACACGCACACACATAAATAAATAAATAATTTATTTAAAAACATTAAAAAAAAATTTAAAAAGGGCTGAAGATATAGCTCAGTGAGAGGCCCTATGTTCAACCCACAGTACCGCTGTCAGGCATGGTGATGCGCACCTGTAATCCGAGCTCTTGGGAGGGTGAGGCAGGAGGCCAACCTGGGCTGCATACTGCATGGTGAGTTCAAGGCCGGCCTGAGTTATTTAGATCCTGTCTCAAAAAAAAGTGCCAAGACTACAAGAAAAAAAGATTGGAGGTTACTGCTAATACTTTATGCAGTGCACGTGTTATGTAAACAGTCATGAATAGTATTATTTAAGGAAGCATGTCATGAAAAACTGTCCATGTTCAGGACAGAGGAATATATATATATATAT